ACGATAGACTAGTAATCGACTAGCTCTAGATTATCTCTAACCGTCCACCTCTACTAGCCTTCCTTCTTAACTACATTAACTACTACTTTGCTTATATACACTATAACGTAAAGCTTAGGGCCCTTTAGTACTTTCTTCGGTCTACTACCCTTGTTCTACGACTACGAGTCGGCCTACGAGTCGTCTCGTAGCTCGGTACTACTACTACTACCCGCCTTAAGTCGATTCGTAGCGATTAGCGTGCTCCTATATAGACTCGCTTTACTAGTACGAGGACCTTATACCTCTCCGGATAACGGATTAATACCTATATTACTAAGCGGGCGGATATGCTACTTCTTATTAGCGGCTAAAACGGCATTAGTACGGCTAAATAAGCTTTTAGCGAGTCTAGTAAAGCTACTATAGCCCTTTATAGACGCGGGCTCCTTCCGCCGTAGAGTAGGGGAATCGATCGGATCCGGTACTAGTATTAAGGAAGGGCCTACAGTCGACTCGCGGCGACTCGCTATATTAGTGTCTACTATAGTAAAGAACGGGTTCCTAAGGCCGCATTTACTATAGCGGGGCTTATCGCTATACTCTTTAGTATAATTAAGAGTATAATCTACCTTATTAGATATATAGAAGTCTTCCTAGAAGTTAGTAGAAGAAGCTATAATAGACGTATATAGAAAGATAAGACGTAGTATTAAGGAATGTAACGTTACGAGTCTACTACGAGTATATACGAAGCTTTATAGAGGCTCCCTAGTAGTAGTAAAGACGGTTCTCGTACGATTAGACGGCTCGAGGCTATTTAAGCAAGTCGGCGCGATATACTTAGCGAGTCGTCTACTAGTATCTAGGTGCTACTTAGCTACTCCTCGGAGGTACTAATAAGCGTGTATATAAAGCTTCTTAGGCCTATTACCGAATCCGGGTTCGCTACCTTTAAAGGTTAATAGGTAGCTAGCGAGTACGAGCTATTCGTTTACCTATTATAGAGTTGTCGGAGGCAGGTATAAGCTAAGGTCTATATATAGCGAGGCGTAGTTAGCGTAGGAGTAAGAGAGGGGTAACTCTATAGGCGGGTAGCTAGAGCTGCGAGTGACTACGAGTACAGCTAAATTGGCTGCGAGTACGGTCCAATTTCGAGCTACTTACCTAGTACTAATATAGAAAGCTCTTTAATTACCCGCGGAGCTTACTATAGCCGTCTATCCGGTTTATCTACTACTTAAGAGTAGTACTCGCTAGACTCTTAGGGTTAATTAGATGCCTACGCTAGGTAGTGTCCTCGAGCTCTAGATACTCGTAGAGCAAATCCGGTATACTACTAATATAGCTCTTAAGGTTTTGTACTCGTACCGGGTGCCGATTCTACTCTAAGACAAAGTAACTAACTATATAGCGTATAATTAGAGTATAGATTACGAGGAAGGCGAGTCGATTAGATAGCTTAGCGGCCTCGAAAAGGTGTAGGTTAATATACTAGTTAAATAGGTCTCTCTAGCGATTTATAGCTAATTTAGCTATCTCGCCCTACTAGTACTTAATAGTCTAATTGCCTTTACTCGTAGTATATAAGAAGGCCTTAACAAAGTCGATATTACGGCCCTCGATAAGCTCTCGAAGCCGTAGATAGGCGTCTACTAGTATAGGTGTCTCGACACCTTAATTAGAGCGGACTCGCTAAGGGACTCGCTAGATATAGTTAATTATAGTATAGTACTACGAAAACACTAAGTACTTTGTCTTTACTATTAGGCTAACGTAGAACTAGATAATCCGGCGTAAGTAGACGTTAATATAGGCGTAAATCTAAATGCCGAATTGCTCGATTTTGTAGAAGGCATTAATTAACTAGACGTAGTTAGGCCTATTAGCTTTTAGTCGTACGTACCGTAGCCTATTCGGATAGCGATTACGTAGTTCGCGAAGCTTATATAGTAGAGCGTTAATTTGCCGTAAAATCCGGTAGATACGGTCCCTAGTAGGCATTAGTATAGTAAGAAGAGGGCTACGAGTCGGCTACGAGTCGATTCCCTACCTACCTATAATATACTAGTAGGTTCTTAACTCTCGTACGAGCTTACGATAGCTAAAGTCTTAGGTTTGCCTATTAATTAGTACTACTCGAAGCACCTTATCGACGTAGGTAGTAGCTACTTCTAATTTCTCGTATTCTAGTCGACGCTTAAGGCCGTAAGTACGGCGGAGCTCTTAATACTACCTTAAAGAGATATTATAGCTATTAAGCCGTAGTATAGTATAGCTCTTCTTGTCGCTAATAGTATATAGCTAGAATAGCTCGGTAATCCGCTTAATTAGTACTATGTTACTACTATAGTTAATTCGAGGGCGAGTAGTTACTCCCTATCGCGATAAGTATGTCTATAGAGTTCTAATACCGTAGCGAATGCCCTTAGTATTATGTAGGCTCTATACGACTCGCTAGTAGGTATATCTAGTATAAATCTAAAGCTTAATCTAGAGCCGATAGGGCTGTAAATCGAGGGCCTAAGGCGGCATAACGACAAAGTAGACAATAAAGGACCTAGTAAATGGATTGCGAGTCGATAGCGAGTACATCAGTGCCTAACCACTGCGATTACAGTGTGTGAGAGTGTGGTGGTACGGTGGCAAAACCGGCAAAACCATTTTGCGGATTTGTAAGCTCAGGCCACCGCCCAAGCTTCGTGGGGCTCGGCAGTCATTTAGGGCAGGCACTGCCACACTGCCGACTGCATGGCCCATCGATCACACAGGACACTGTATAATCAATTTTCATCACCACCAACTCGCTACTCATCGCCGTGCCAACCTGTTTACACCAGATAACAGGCAATCGATGGCCGCAGCTCGCACCATCGAGCATGGCTATTGCCACACGTCTTCGGTTCTCCCCTCACGCCCAGTGGCCTCGCCGCAACAAGTATTACAAGCGTGATGTGCATCGCTAATCCTACGCCCTTGCGCTGCATCGATACCTCGTGACTGAGGATATCGTTAAACAATGTCCACGCTGACCGTATCGCCTACTATGTCCGCCTGTGGGGCGTATACTTTCTATCCATCCAACCTCAACACTCGCCGCGCACCGACAACTCCATCATCGCACATTTATCACCAACTCACCCTACCACCCTCAGCCAGACGACTATCCTCCAGCATTCGAAGCCCCATGTCCACCGCTCATACCCCCTGAGGGATCTGCGGCGGCAGCGGCAGCGGCACTGCCTCCCTCCACCCTCTCTCTAACAAAAGCTTCCTGGTCACCTCGAACACCCACACCCCGGACAAACACGACCAGCAACACCTACCCAGGGCGAGGGAAATCACGGAGATCTCGTGCCATGGCAAAGTCAGCCATGTGATTGCCTCGGCTGACTACATTCGCTCTCAACCTCACGAATGGCTCGGCCTAGGAATACCTTGTCCGATGGTCCGCTCATCCTCCGGCGGCAAAGCAGGATCGAGACGTCGGGCCTCGTACCAATTCAAATTCCACGCCGCGTAGCACTGTACGGCGGAGCTTTGTCGACGACACTGCGGGCTGAGCAGTATCTTGTTCATAGACGATGGCAGACTCCAAGACCACGCAAACAACGAATGCAGAGGGGTAGAGTACAGCTCACCAGGCAAAGCAGCAGCCTTACGGGACAGTCGCATGTTCTAGTGGACGAGACGTAGGAGACAGGATACATCACGAGAAACGGGGAACAAAGAGGAGAGTGGTATCATCACAGGTGAGTGAAAGGACAGTTAGCTCTCAACGCCTCGGTCAGTGCAAGACGAGCAAATCTCATTCCTGCGCTCCTATCCATCCTGCCACACCGCCTCCGCTCTCCTTTCTACATCAACCCCACAACAACGATTCTTTCGCTATCTCTCCTCCTCTTCCGCGCATCCCATCGACACCGGCGCCTCCGGCAGTAAGAAATCCAACACCCACCAGCACTACGATACGAGGGATGGAACGAAAGAAGCATTGCAGCAATGGGCAGGATGGTCAATACAAGGACAATAAAGGATGAAACTATCATTCCCTCGACAAGGTTAAAAAGATGGACATCAGATTATACATCGTGAGCTTGCTAGCTTGGAGTCTTCTCACCCATCTTGACGCCATGATACTTGAAGAATGAAGCTGTCAAACTCCCTCAGACTATCCCACCAGCACGTCGATGGCCGAACGAGCTTCAAGCCCAGCCGCCGACCAGGGCGAGAAATCAGTTCTTGCGGATTCTCACACACTCCAAACAGCCCATCAAATCGGAGAAAGCAGTAGGAGCAGTAGCCATCACATCTAACAAGGTATTTGCGCTCGGCGCTGGCTGGATGCGGCGTCGAGCGTACCAAATATTGCTGCCCTATACGTAGAAGGTGTACATACTGCGGATAGCTCAACTTCGGGACTGATTTGGATTTCGTTAGACAGCATGCTTGCGAGTTCATCACGCTTCGTTGACACACTCCCAGCCTCGTACAGTTTCCACTTAACAGATACCTTCACAGAGCCTACCGCGAGGACTTCTTGACCATGCACAGGCACGACCGCGTGGCTCAAGCCCACCTCTGTTCACCATGGCCGATGAGTGGAACCGACCAGCTGTCGGCCACGACGACAATAGGGCAATGCCTCAGCACTGCGGCAAGACTTCGCAAGGGGTATCACCACATTCAAACATTACCACGCCTGCTCGTGAAGCACCTGTTTCCCCGGAAAGAAACCTCGAAACCTGCTCTCAGCGAGACCTGCACTCAGCAAGACCTGCACTCAGCGAGACCTGCACTTAGCGAGACCTACACTCAGCGAGACCTGCACTCAGCGAGACCTGCCCTCAGGGAAACCTGCCCTCAACGAGACCTGCACTCAGCGAAACCTGCACTCACAGCGAAACCTGCACTCAGAGCAGCCAAGGCGGCGCCGTAACAGCTCAGTGCTCGCATCGTGGACGCCAGCGAGGACGAGCCTGCCCGCGCGCTGCGGGAGATGCGAACAGAGATGGAGAATATCAGAAACAGCAGGAGACGTCGATGGTATGGACGCTGAGCTTGATAGCCCCGTCACCTCGCTGGGCCTCCTTTCCGACCTGAATGACGATGCCGCCGTTGTGGACCTCTCCAAGCTCAGCAGTCTCGGAGCGCTCGCCGCCCTCTCCGGCCACGGAGCTGCCTTCGCTCCGACTGTGAGAAAGAAGACCGGCAAGAAGACTCAGAGCTCCCCAGTCGTCATCAGCTCCCCGCTCGCCAACCCCGGTTCGGTCGATTCCCCCAGGCTGGAAGGCTTAGAGGGCAGGAGCGGGGTCTCTGTCGTCGAAGCGTGGCTCGAAGCGCTTACATACGTCGATGTCGCGGCTTCCCGCAGAACTTGCAGCCGCGCCCGCGTAATGGTAGAGAGGTAGCTCTTTGGGCGCCATTCGTCGTCGGAGCGGGCGCTGGTGTAGCCTTGTAGAGCTGGGACAGTAAGACGAGCCGGGCCTGCTGCGGTGAGAATGTCGGCGACCGCTTTGAAGAAGACGTTGCTCCGCGACAGCGGCTTCGACAGCGGCATCTTGTGCGATTCGGTTTTGCGGTTCTGCCAGGGCCCGCCGGTGGGCGATCTCGTTCCTATGGTCAACGATGCCATTGAAGAAGACTACCTGCGCGAGGCTGGTGTCCTACGGAACGGTCGGGCTAGCTTGCCGGGACAAAATCTACTCCGGTTCTGTTTTCCGACTATCGGACAATGGCGTCGTCATTTTGTACTCATCCATAGACTGAGTGCGCAAAGCCTGCTATTACAAAGCATCGGACTCTACCAGTAAGCTTCGATGGCAAACGCGGCTATTGTGGCTCAGTATCACTCTCGTTATCGCCTTCCGCAGAGGTGACTCCACGGTATAGGAATACAGCGAACAAGGGGAAAACTCCAGAGCCCCTAAGTTACCGGAAATCCCGCCGGAAGAAGAAGAGCGAGGAAGTCTGGGAAAAAGCTGAGAATAGAGTAGAGTACCTGCTCCGTACTCGAACGGAGGTGGGAACACTACTGGCCGGGGGACTGGCCTAAGATACATTCTGGACAGCTTACATACTACGACGACGACTATTCTTAAGCGTCTACTTGTGTCGGCGATGAAAGAGATCCTACAGAGCAGAGCACCTACTCCGTACTCGAATGGAGGTAGGACACTATCGGCCGGGGACTGGCCTGAGATGTATTCTGGACAGCTTACACACCCCGACAACGACTCTTCTTCAGCGTCTGCTTGTCACATCGACGGGGAGAGAGAGATCCCATCCTGAGCTGATACCCGTCATGTCAAGCGAGAGATATATCCAGACTGGGCGCGCCTTACCGCTGAAAATCAAATCAAAATCAAAAATCTGATAATGGACAACAAAAAATCTGTATAATAACAACATCCCTTTCCATGCGCCAGCCACTCATCTCCTATCCTGCCTGCTTCAGTGTACCTTGAGATTCTACATTCTCGTCATTCAATAGCTGGCTGTTCGAACCCTCGACCTCGGCAATGGCTGCTTGCTGGTCCTCGTATTTTTTTCGCGGTAGCTCGCCTCCTCCTCCTCCTCCTCCTCCTCCTCCTCCTCCTCGTCGGTCCATCTCATTGCTCACCGGCGTCCCTAGGAAGCAGCCAGCTCAACACATACATACCATCGCGCATATCAATCATCCGGCCCTTCTTTGGGACACGACATGTTGACCTTTTGTTCCACAACCTGCCTCTCATTCATCACCTTTAGCTCAGCTCAGGATTTGAGAGACAGAGACAGAGACAGAGACAGAGACAGAGACAGAGACAGAGACAGAGACAGAGACAGAGACAGAGACAGAGACAGAGCAAAACAGAGACAGAGACAGAGCAAAACAGAGACAGAGCAAAACAGAGACAGAGCAAAGGCGCATGTGAGTGTGTGCGATGGTGCAGTGGGTGGGTGCATCAGAGGCAGGCACTCCCAGCCACATCGGTCGACGTAGACGTGAGGAGATCCCATCCCATCCCCTCCCATCCCATCTCATCAGTCCTCTTACTCTCTATATCGATCGGGGCAGGCGGGCAGGCTACCCGAACGAAGGCTCTTGTCTCCCAGACCAGATCAGATCTTCGAGTGCCTCGCGGCGGCCGAGCGGGTGAGCGGGTGGGTGATATTGGTCGTGAAGCTCCAGGGCAACCGGGCCAGGACATGGAGGCCACCACCGCGGCGGCAGTAGGAAACATGCGTGGTGATAGCGGGCAGACAGGCAGGCAGGCAACACTTCGACATGCGGTCGGTCGGTCAGGGGGTTCATCGTCTCCGAAAGGAAGGAGGAATTGTTTATGGTTCATTGTTCATTGTCCACGCCTTGCGAATGGATTGGAATGGAATGGAATCTCCTCTCTTAGTGGAATGAAGTACAAAACTCCAATAGCAATGCTCTCTGATCTCAGGTCTCAGGTCTTAGGTCTCAGTTCTACACCGATCAATTGAGATAGATAGATGCCGCCGTCTCCGAGTCATCGATTGATGAAGGAGAGCCAAGGTATGAAAATGAAAGAAATGAAGACGGCTCGGTCGGCACAGGCACCGGCACCGGCACCGGCATCCTGGTGTACGATATGATAGGCATCTTTGACTCTTTCCTTTTGTTTTTCCCGGGCTGCGTCTGAGATTTTCTTCCAATTCCAATACACAGGATATAGGCACTAAAGTTGGGAATGGGGAACTGTCCCATCTCAATCGCCTCAGAATGCTTCGGCGTCCGATCCCTACAGGACCAGGTGAACCACATTGGTCGATGGGCAGTAAAGTAGCGTCTACGCGAACCTCTTTTAATATATACGCCTGCTTTCCTGCTTTCCCGCCTGCTCTGCTCTGCTCGCATCGTAGCGTAGCGTAGCGCAAGTCCGACTCCTTAAGTGAGCCACGAACGAGGATTTCCGTTTCCATTTGCCATTCCTATTTCCGTTTGCCCGGGAGGTGTCTAACTATGACTATAACCATGAATGAACACTCGCCGCCAATTGGAGGGAGAGAGGGAGAGAGAGAAGAGGGGAGGGAGGGTAATATACACACCTGTCATGACCGGAAGCTTCGTCACGTCGGTTTCCTTCAAAGTCCTAGCCGAGGAGATGGACCCATAACCTCCGCGGAGTGAAAGAGAGAGCACAGAGGCGGATTGACATGGGCAGCCGATTCACACCTAATTGAAGGGGGATCAGATAGTTTATTACTACATGTGGTCTGAGTAGCCGTATATCTGCAGTACCCGCCGCGGACAATGCTAGATAACCGCACACGGACAGACACCTGATGTGCTGGGACGTGCGAAGACTCCTAACTACAGGTAAGACAATCTTCAAAAGTCGATCCAGTGCATTGGAAGTTGAGTGGGCGGGCACGGCCTACTGGTATGCAGATGCCTGCCGGCGTTGCTTGGTGGAGCAGATGTCTTCTTGCATGAGGCTAGACCAAAGATCTCTGTACTGGACTCTCGATTCTGTGTAGTACTCGGAAGGAAATCTTTTGTAAGTGTACACCAATGGCCAATCTGTCTCTATGAACTGCGGGACACGTTGGACAGCTGTTCCGCCTGCTCGTCCAACTAGTATGTATCAACCTCTGATTTCCCGCTAAACTCCCTACTTATGTTTAGCTTCCTCTACGTGGAATGTTTGGAACGCCTGTCCTGTGCTTCTTCCGTTTCCTGCTGGTGCTATTGTTCTTCCACTGCGTCTTGCCAATACGACTCCTCTGCTTCTTCAATGTGCCCGCTTCGTAGTGTGAATAGATTCAGTGGCTTGGAGGGTACGTCCGAGTACCGTCCGCCGGAGTTCGGTGTACCGTCTACACGCTACTATGACTGGGCGCTAAATGCGTGGGGGGCGTTCGTGATGGCGAGGCGTTCAGGCGGTGCGGGCAACGTTCCGGCATTTCGGACGTTAGGCATTGGGCATTGCCGCCCCTATGGTGGAATGGGAGTGGGAGGATGATTTTACGCTCCCAGGTAGTTCCCTAGGGGTCTCTGAATTGCCAAATGCTGAGCGAGGTTTCTGAGATAGAAACGTTCGTATGGGCGGCCGTGACGGGTTCACTCTGGAGGTGCTCCCACCACGCAAGTGCATGTCGGCCATCTGGGCCCAAGTGTCGCGCTTCGCGCCTCGCGCCGGCCTGACGCACAAATTCGGCTGGCGTCGTGTTAGCTGTCTGTTAGCTCCGCGATGGTGCCACGTAGGAGAGCATTAATGCCGTGGTAGGCGAACCCTCGTGTATTCTCAGCAGGTCAGAGTCGCGCCGTCTGATGGTGTTCGCCCATCTCTCTCCTTACCCGTTAGCAATAAGATCCCATATCTCGTAGCTGAGGTGACCTCTTCCTCCGGCGTTCGTGGGCGATCGGCCGCGACCTTCGGCACACCCGCGCTGGGCGATGCTGGCTCGCTCATCTCGTTGGCGGGGACCGCGCTGTCTATCGTCGGCTGGCGAAATTCGTGAGGTTGTAAAGTTGCTGTCGCGGGACCAGTGTCGGAGAGCGTGTAGGAGAGGTGACAGGTCGTGAGCGGAAGGAGAGGAGGAAATAGGCGACCGTGCTGCGCCCGTGATTCTGCCCAATGGCTCCACGCAGAAGTGAAGGGCCACTGCGGTCAGCACTCAGTCACTCGGATTCGATCTTTTGTGGCCGTTGCGCTCGCCCGATTTCCAACCTAGTGCCCGTGTCGGTGGCCTCGAGTTGTTTTCCCAGGTCTGCCTTGCTCTTGCAGCACACTCACAGTTGGTGCATTTCTCAGATTCCTCTCGTACTGAGTGTAGAGATAAGCAATCCTAGGATCGCCGTGTCACGGCTCCCCGGTTGTCTGCAGGTTCGTGTCCAATCCAGCGTCCTTCGTGTGCCGGACGAAGACGCAGACATGCTGCGCGGTCGGGCGACGATTCGCGGCGTCCTGGGGGGTATATTGCTCGCTTCCCACCATGGAATTGGGGCGAGCAGCGGTCTGCCGGGATTGCCTCTCTCTACTGCGCCAACCACGAAACGCTCGACACATTGCCCGCCCTCTCAGTAGGCAATTCCACTCCTTGACAGCATGGGCATATCAGGCCAAACCATCACCATCGAGACGTCTTACTGCGGACTCACAAACACCACGCCGAGCTCTTGCATCCGTATCGCGTGGACAGTCCGCCCCGACGGGCTCCCTCGACCTCAATGCAGCCTGCAGTGCTTCACCCAAGTGTCGACGGTACTGTTCTCGTAACTCGGTGCATCGTTGGTCGGTAGAGCTGTGTTGGAGACCGTCCTCCTCAAGCGCTTGAAGACCGGCGGTGTACCAGGTTTGCGCTCGCAGCAGGCCGGGAATCCTTCCTTTCCCCAGATTCTCATTCCGTGATGCAGCGGCGTCCTTCAGTCTGTTAGTCTGTCAACGAACACTGGAGGCAACATCTTGTACACAGACTGGAGCATTTCTACTCCGCTTGAAACTGGGTTCCTCGTGGCATTCCAAGAGATACAAGACCGGAAGCCAAGTACAGGCGGGGCGACGAGAGGATTGCTCAGCGGCGATTGAGGAAGGAGACTGTGAACATGCAGTGAGATGGGAGTCGTGGCGGCCTTGTGAGGGCCACCCCACACGGATTCTGTCCCTCACAGGGAAGGAG